GTATAATACCCAAACCCTTAATGGAGGAAGGAACGTTGATTGCACAGCCTCACTTGGGACTTCTTTCTGTCAGAGATGCTGGATGATGACAGTTTCTGATTGCACTTACTCAGATAAGAAGTAAGACTTTAAAAACTGCTTAAATATGGAGAGAGAAGAGCAGAAAGCAAACAAGTTGATCTTTCTGTGAGTGGTTGAATGTGTTTGGCTCTTCATAAGAGTATGTATTTTTCCTTTTTGCCTTTCAAACTTTTGAGGTGAATTGGCTTTGTGAGCTGATTTTGAATGCTTCCCTGCATCACAGTAAACCTTAAGTGTCTTACCAGACTTTCCTTTGCTCTCCCCATCTTGATCCTGAGATGTTGCCAGCTGCAGGGGTAGAGGCACTGAGTTGGAGTGGGGAGTGGGCTTCTCACAGTGTTCATTTTGACACTTTCTTTCCTTGTTACCCTGCTCCAGTACCTGCTGCTTGGATTGTCTGAGAACAAAATTAAATACAAGAACCATAAACTCAATCCCTTCTTATTCATGCCTCCTGCAGTAAGGGAGAAATTTAATAAAAGCATACGTCATTTGGCAAAAAGAAAAAAAAAAGGGTAGCTTGACTTTTAGGCAAGAAGCCAAGGTTTTATAGAATAAATTTACTATATGTACCCTGAAGTTTAGAACAGCAGTGCCAAGTATCACCCTGCTATCTCTAAGGCTTGGAGCTTGGGCTGGGAGGTGATGAGAAGCCTGATTTTCTGTGATGTGTACAGTCCTCATTTAAGGAAAAAGTAATTTAATACTTCATCTGCCTTATCCTCCTGTGCAACTTCATTTCTCATTCTGCTCTGTAATGTTCTTTCTCCTTGGTTGATCACTTACTTTTATACTTCAGACATGAAAATGAAGTTCTTTGGTATTCTAGAGAGGTTTGCTCCAGCCTCTGTTGCCTAACCTTTCTCGTTCACCTTGGTGTGCAGCTTGCCTGTCCTCTCTCCTCTTCATTTCAGAAGTTTTGTCATCCCTGTCACTTTTGGGTGACATGGACATTCAACATAGAAAGCAAAGGGTCTCTGTTTGCTCTGATGCTTCCTTACAGCTGAATTCTGTCTTTCTCAGACACTGGTCTTGGAATCTGTTGGCCTATCTTTAAACCTTCTCTGATTTTAAACTTTTTTTCTGTTGCTGTCTGATCCTTAGCAGATATAGATGATAAAAATCACCATTTTTTTGGTTGGCACTGTGGAGTGCTTGGAGACTCACATACAAATGTAGCATTATTGCCAGTGCTGACAGTACCATCAGGCAGTATCCAGTGTCCTGGATGCCAGATTCCTAATGCCTCAAATCTTTTTCCTGTGGGAGTAAGGAAACAGTGAATTTTCCTCCATGAATAGACACAGACACAGCAGAGGAAGTCTTTCAGTAGCCGCCTGAATGTGAGATTTATCAGAGGAGTTATAACAGAGTAAGAGGAAAGATGTGCTCTGTGGTTGCAGATGGGACAGAGGATAGGGGGCCAGCAAGAGAGGCCCTCAAGGGGTTCCCAAGAATTGCGAGGAAGTATTCCTGGAACTTGCTGTGGGTGTTGGAGAAAATTGCCTGTAAAATGGAGAGTGGCTTAAACACAGCAGGATGAGGATTTTAGGACAAAGGAGAAACAAGAGCTAAGTTGGGGGTGAAGTGCAGAGGGCTTGAGGGCAAAAATATTTCAGAGGGACAAGAGAAAGTGAAAGCTTGAATCAAAGCTGCTGAAAGGTTGGCTTTAATATCTGCTTCGATCAAAAAATAAAAGTCTGTGTGGATTAAGAGATAATCCAGTAGATAGATTTAATCTGCCATGTGTATTGCTTCCCCAAAGAAAAACCCTGGGAGGGGAAGGTTGATTTGGCTCAGTGCCCAGCATTGGAAGGTAGGTGATGTATTCTTCTTTTTCACAGACCCCCCTTTCACTTGTCCTGAATGAAGCAGATCCTGCTGAAAGGGAGGGGCTGTAGCCTCCTGCTTCTTTGCAACTCCAAAGTCATATTGAATTTAACTAAAGGCATTTCTCAAGCAGAAAAGAGCACTGAGAGCAAAATAACACAGCAATGACTAAGAAAATAGGCATGGGGTAGGTTCAGATGCTCATGGTGGTTTTGAGAAGCAGTACTGGGCCATTTTATTAACACTTAATCCCTCTTGTCCTAATTGTCCTTGTCTTCCCTTTAATGGAAGTTAAGGTCTGAATGACACCTTTCCTCCAGCACTGCCCCTGAAATCCTCAGCCATATCCCTCCATCCCTTCCTTCCTATTCCCTTTCTTTACAAAAACTGGTTGAGTCCTTTGAGTAAGTTCAGTTTCCACAGCAGTACAAATAGTTGATCAAACATGAGGAGGTTTTCTCCATGTATTTTTTCTGGTAAGGTATATGGTGTATTATGTCTTCTAACTAACACATTCAGCTGTATCTTGAGCTGTTCATGCTAACAGTCATGCACCTCTAGGAGCCTGTACACATGGAATTTGGATTGGTTGGATTGAGGGGGTTTCATTTTTATTTCAAAGTTATCTTGTTCAGCAACAAATAAATTAATCTGTAGACTGATATGTATGCCTTCTGTGTTGTGGGCCTGCATGTGTAACCATCTCAGGTGAAGGTTTTTTTGGAGATCTTATAAGGTCAGTGGGATTTGGCCTGTCAAATCCTTGAGCAGGAGATCACAGGAGAATGTACAGGGTGCCTCAGAGAGAAGATCCATCATGGTTTGAAACACCTGAGCTGGCACTGGACAACTTGCCCAGCTTGTGCTGGGAGCAGGCTGTCTGCCTGAGATGGTCTCCTCTCACTGATGATATTTTGTGGGCAGTGGGGTTGGATGTCTCCCCTCTTTTTGTTTTCTTTTTCTTGAGTGAGGGAAGAGATTGGTGAAACACTGGGGATAATGTGGGGCAGGAAAGGGAGTGAGGGATGTGTTTGCTTCACTGGACCCACTCACATTCATGAAGTGAAAGAGAGGAGAACACTTACTGGTTTGCAGACCTGAGCTTGCATAACTATTTGCTTAGCACTTCCTTCTGGGGGAGAAACATGTGCCTTGTCAGATCCTGAAAATTGTGTCTGGAAGTCAGCAGGGTACTGGCTAAAAGGCAATTGATACCTCACTTTTATTTGGAGCTTCAGGAAAGCTTTGTGGAGTTCTTCTAGGAGAGAGGTCTACTCTCAGGTGAGAGAGAAAATTGCATCATTGATTTGAGGGAGAGCAGCAAAGCAGAAATAAATGACTCAGTTTTTTCAGCTTTGAAGGAAGCAAAAATAGTCAGATGCCCCTGGAGAGCAGTACTGGAAATAGTGTCAATCAATACAATTATGAAACCTCTAGAAAAGAGGTGAACTGTGAGGTGGGAAAATCTGCTGGTGAGAGCAGTTAGGAAAGATTTAGGTCCTTCAGAGGCATCTCACACTTGAACAAAACAAGGCAATGGGACAGCCCTGTGACACATGAAATTTGCTGCAGACAGGTGCTAGGAAATGCAGACTGAAAGGAACAACAGAAACTACTCTGAGAACCTATCAAGTGTAAAAGTGATATGAACTTACTCCACTGAGGCAGAGGAGGGTGTGGGAAGGAAATCATGAACAGATTTGTACTCAGTGTTGGTACAAAATACAAGCTGTTAGACTGTGTTTAAAATAAAATGGGGTAATGGAGAATAATTCTGAGAGGGAGAATCTCATGAGGTTCAATTTTGCTCATCTCCCACTCCAAGCAAAGTAAGGTAGAAACAGGCTGTGTGCTGTCATGCCATATGCATAAGGAGGAATTTTTCATGCCTCCAGGAAGAGGAGAGCTTGGCTATAAACAAACAGAAATACTTCAAGTTTAGAGAAAGTGAGGGTTTTTTTTAGAATGGTACAAGGAGAACAGGCTGCTTGTTCTTGCTGTTTTTCACTATCTGCATTGAGGGGGGGCTTTATATTTCTATACTATAATAGAGAATGTACTGTCCAAATATATATATATGAAAATACTGGAAAAGATGGATTTGGTACAGTTTGGAATTGGGAATCATGGATCACTGCTGATCTCAAATTCATTACTGAAGGGAATTAGGCAGAGCAGAAAAAGAGCATGAGAGCTCTCTCCTCAAAAGCAAAGAGAGACTCTTGGTGAAATTTAAAGACAATGCTTGAGATTGCTTTTCAGAGGCACAGAATGATCCAGTGGAACTGGGGTGAAAGTTCAGAAGACTTTCCAGCTTTTGCCCTTGTGGCTGAGGAGAATCTGCTGGTTGTGCATGGGAAAGGAGGCCTCTTTGAGAAGGTGACTCCATCATTAGCTGTAGCTGATGCCTGCTCCCAGCATCCCAAAGCATTCTGATGCTGATCTAGTGGTATGGGTTGAGATAAAAACAAGTAAATTAAATAATAATAATAATAGTGATGATGTAATGCAATGTGATGTAAAGGAAAATAATAAAAAAGAGAGAGGAATACAACACAAGAAAGACAAGTGATGCAAATAAAAACAATTGCTCACCACCAACTTGATGAAGCTTGTCAGTCCCCAAGCAGTGGACCCCAGCCAACTTTCTCCCTAGTTTCTATGCTGAGCATGATGCCATGTGGTCTGGAACATCCCTTGGGTCAGTTGGGATCAGGTGTCCTGGCTGTGTCCCCTCCCAACTCCTTGTGGTGGGCTGAGAGGCAGAAAAGGCCTTGACTCTAAGCTGAGCAATAATTAAATCATCCCTGTGTTATCAACACTGTGTCTGTTGACAGTTTTCCATCTTTCTGTGCCCCAAACAGCCACAGGAACATCATGCTGTGAGTCATGGATTAATCCTACTTCATGTTGGAGTACCTAAAGCTCTCAATGGGATGGATACAAGCATGGCTCAACCATCACTGTTTTTCACTGTGAAACAACCCACTCCCCTGGGATTCACATCCTTCTCTGAGGGGCTGGGAACTGCTGTTTTCAAAAGAGCCACTGATTGTTCAGCTTAAGAAGTGTTCTTGCCTCCTTCCTAGGATCTCTCAGCGGGTGGAGGCCAGCCGGGCACAGCTCCGGGCGATTGGGGAGAGAGTCACCCTCGCCCAGGCCAAGATTGAGAAGATAAAGGGCAGCAAGAAGGCTATTAAGGTAGTGACTCTAGTGAAGGCTGCATGGCCTCCTCTCTTCCTTCTTTCTTTACTCCTGGCATAAGCTCTGGAGAAGAAAAGGTGCTCAGCTGCTACAGCTGCTGCCCACTCAGCTCTCCATGCCTTACTGCTGAGCAGGATTGTGGTGAGAATCCCATTCCTGACTTGGCCAGCGGATGAATTTTAGACCCATGAGCCACACAGCTCCAGGCTTTATGTAGCCTTTAGAGGTTTCTGTCCCAGCTGCTTCCTGAGAAAGAGAAAAGAATGTGCTGAGCTAAGCCTAACTCACTCCTTCACTTCAGGCTCATAGACACTTATTTGAATGAAAGCTGCTGTCAGAGAGACTCCCTTTAGTGTATCTTAATCCCATTGAGCCATGTAAAACTGGTGAAAATCCTTCTTTCCCCATTCTTGCTCCATTTTATACAGTATTCCCAACTCCTTTCCTGCCAGTGATCTCCTAGTCCTTTTAGAGAGAGAGAAAAGCTCTGGCAATTCCAGTTTCAGAAGTGGCAGCCCATGCATATTTGGATTTGTTCACATAGCCCTTAGGAGCCTGTTGACTCCAAGGCTGTCCATTCCCACTGGCAGCACAGGTTGCATGTTTGCTCCTCTCCATGTGTTTCTGCATTGTAGGATTGCCTAGTTGTTGGGTTTTTTTAGTCCCTCCTTGTTTCTCCATAGGTATTTTCCAGTGCCAAGTATCCAGCCCCTGAACGGCTGCAGGAGTACAGTTCAATTTTTGCTGGTGCAGAAGACCCAGCTAAACAGAAATGGCCAAGACACAAGATTCAGAGCAAACACCAAATGCTGGATGAAAAAGCTCTGCAGGTAAGGAGCAGAACAGACCTTGGGAAGGACAAGCAAAGAGAACCTGGAGGCTGTTAATCTCTTTGATAAAGTGGGCCAGGGCTTTGGGACATAGGCTAGGAGTAGAACATATTTTCATGTGGCCTGTCATTGTGGGGGAGGGTGTGAGGTCAGACTGGGAAGCTTATGGAGGTGAGGTGCCACATGGAGAGGGCCATGTCAGTACAAGAGTTTGGATGGCTGTGAACTGCCAAGTCTCTGGAGCAGCTCTATTTCCTGAAATGCTGCTGTTTCCTGCAGCAGTGTTGGTGGGTGCTGCTGCTGCCTGGGCTCAAGGCCTTGGCTGTGCCTAGTGAGGCAGCTGGGATCAAGCTCATGGTTGTTTCAGAAATAGTTTCTGAAGGCTCTGATATAACTTCTGGTGAGAGGGGGAAGGTAAGAGGCTTGTGAGTGTGTCAGGAGAAAAAGGAGACATTCATTAGAGCATTTTTCTGCCCCAGGAAATCGTTGCATTCGGGCACTGTCCCTGGGTTGGAAGGACAGGAAGGAAGAGTTGCTGTGCTTAAAGTTTAAAAGTTGCTGTGTATGTGCTGTGTCAGGAGTTGCAGATGTGCTGTTCCTAGCAGGTTAAGGATCAGTTTGACAACTTCCCTGCTCTCCACCCCTAAAGAGACTTCCTTCCTCATCCTTGTGTGACTTGGCCAAAAATAAAGCTGCCACTGAATAATTTATCATGCTAAACTTCCCTGAGTGTTAATGGAGTTGAGACTTCACACAGAGAGGTAGTTATGAATATTTCAGCCAGGCCAAGGAAGCAGGATTGCTGGCCAAATGGAGAGCTGGCAAACTTGAGCAGGGTCCCTGCTTCCTTCCAGTCCTGGCAGTAGCACAGGCAGAGCTGCATGGGACAGGCTGGTGTCTGCCAGGGAGGCCAGTGAGTGCTGCTGTCTGGAGTGGGGGGCAGCAGAGGCAGGCAGGGTGCAGGCAGGGAGATGGGCTCCCACTCTGAAGGGCTGGTGCTGAAGTACAGCCCTTGCACAGGGAAGGGATTGAGAAGAACATCAGCTGTTAAAAAGCAGTATCCCACAAAGAGCAAATGGTCCACATGCCATGCCCCACAGCCATGTACCTGGGATGCCATCTTTTCCAGTCCCAGTCACTCTCTGTACCATTCTGCCATGTTCTGCCCTTTGTGACTAAAGCTGCCATCACCACAGGGGCTTTGTTTCAGGCCCTGGGGGATGTTTGTTGCTCCCCTCCTGTCACCCATCTTTTGATCCTCTTTTGGGACTGTTGATCTTTCTCTGGCTTTGCTGAGTCTGCCTCATGCAGCAGTTGTCACTGTTGCCAAGCTCACACACACGAGCTCCTCTGTGGGGTGGGGGATGCTGCTGTCAGTGGTGAAGGATGGAGGGGCTGATGGGCTGAATGGGGCTCAGCGTGGCCAAGCTCTGACCACATTCCAGGGGGACAGGCCCTTCTCAGCCATAGCTGAGCACAGAGCCTTGCAGTAATGAAATGTGACAGGGAGAAGTCTAATGTTTGCATTTATGCTTTCCTCAATTATTCAGGGCTTTCAGCAGGGGCTCACTGCCTGTTTTCAGTTCTGATGAGAGCCTCTTTGCTGTGAGCAGTCACAGTGGCCTTTGCTAAACTCCTCGTGCACACAACACCTCATCAGGAAAGCAAACTCTGCTGATGTCAGTCTGAGGGGAAGTGGTGGCAGCCTGTGCTCAGCCTTTAGGGTTTTTGCTCTGGGGGGAAGCAACTGAGTTGGAAATGTGTGTGGGTCTGCAGTTGATTTTAAATGCTTACCCCTTGGAATTTCTTTTTGCCCCCTCAACTCCAAGCAAGTGAAAACTTATTTGTTTAGAGGATGCTGTTTAGGTTGGTAAGGTAAGCACTGATGGGTAAGAGTGCCAGAAACACAGTGCTTGTGGTAAGCCTGGAAAATCCCTTTGCTTTGCACACTGCAGTGGTAGCAGCAAGGCTGGACTCAGCAGGGAGCTGGCTGCATCCCTGTGGGGCTTCCCTTTGTGGTGGGAGCTGTGTCTGGGTGCTGCACATGGGAAGAAGTCCAAGCAAAAGTTACCATCCACTGCTGGAGTAACCTTGCTAGGCTTCAAAAGTGTCAGTAACTTGACATGTCCTTGTGAATTCTGCCTCTCCCAGAGCCCACCATAGGCATGTGGAGGCTAAACCAGGCTTTTGTCACTTGCTCATCTTGAAATACTTTCCTAGCTGGCCTCAGCACTCCATTGGTGCGGGGGGAGTGGGATTGCTGGTACATCCCACCAGTTCCATTTGTAATAGTGTGTGTTTAATTAAGCTGAAGAACCACAGTGACTTTATATATTTTTAATTTTCTTGGGAAGAAAAATGCCTGAAAATGCAGTGTCCTTGGGGATTGTGATCCTGCCAGGTGCCAGACCCCGGGTTGGGGTGTTTGAGCCTTCAAGCAACCCCCATGACTTCAGTATGTCAAGGTTGCCAAACTTTGGCTTAAGAATTTAGTAATTCCTATAAGAATGTTCCTATAAGAAAACTAATTTTTAAATGGCACCTTAACTTGTGGAATTCACAGTTGCAGGATATTTTTGACAGTGTGTGGAAGTTCCAAATTTCAGAGCATCTCTAGGTACTTGAGGAAGACTAGCACTTTGATGGCATTTAAATTAAAAGGATTATATTTCACATTTCAGAATAGTCATACTTAGTGCTTTTATAAATTCCTTAGATGAGGTTTATAAGTAAATGTAGGTAATGGTTGTTTTCTCACTACACCCTTAAAGTGATGCACAATCTTCCAGTGCTAACTGAAGTATACAAAGAGAGAATTAAAAAAGATATATAAATTACTTGAGGGCTAAGTGTGTCTGAACAGTTCTGGCAAAAAGAGTCAGTACTCCTTCATGCTGAAAAAATTAAACATTGAGAAATGAATATTAATGATCAAAAGAACTTTCATTTTTGAGTCTCCGCTTCTACAATCTCTAAATAAGAATTTATATATTTTTGCCTATTTGCTTCCATTAAAAAATAGAAGGTGTTAACTTCAATGTATTTTTCACAAGTTGGAACCTGAATTAAATCAAAACCTTACATGTCCTTTCTTATAGCATTTTATAGTCTCAGAGCATCATATAAACTCTTAGTGGATTAACTGAACTGTGACTAAGCCATTTCCTTGGATTTCTGGCTACCAGATTCAAGACTGAAATTTCAATCAGCAGGAACTGCTTGTGTCCCTGAGATGCGGTCTTAAAACTGAACCACCAGTGGTCACCATTTGTCCCATACAAGTACAAGGAGGGGAGAGGGACTCAGAGAATGGGGTGGTGCAGGGATGCTGGAAGGAGTGAGGCAGTAGGAAGCTGTGGACAGTATTTGGAGTGGTGGCAGAAGAAAACCACAGGTGAGGCGAGTTGCTTAACCTGACAAAGTGCTCTGGTTTCTCCTGGTATGAACACTTACTACCTTGTAGCTGCTGCCTGCCTTACTTGTGAAGAAAGAACTGTGAAGGGGCTGAGGAGGGGTCTACAGAGGGGTCTGAGGTGGAGGTTTGTTCATCCCAAAGTGTCTCTGTTCAGGAACTGATGCCTTTCCTCCCTCTAGAGCAGAGTGCTGTGGGCACTGAGCTTCATCCCCCAGAGCATGTGGCAGCGGGCACTGTCACGCCAGCTGAAGCACTGCTCTGATGTAGGATGGCAGCTCCTGTGCTCTATAAAAGTCAGGCAGCTCAGATGTAATAAGTCCTTTTCGAAAGGGAGCTCTATATATTATGCATGAAGTTTTAGAACTGAGAGAGAGAAGATTTCAGTTCATTAGAGTTGAAAACTCCTGCAAATCCCTCAGGCTTTGCAAAACCATCTGGCACACGTTCCACTCTGTGCACTCCTTTCTGCCTGATCTCTTGCCTAGTGCAGGCACTCTGTTCTTTCCTAACCTCTTTTTCCTTTGCTTTCCTGCCTACCCCACCAGTGCAATCACAGCTCTTAAAACATCAAGCGAAGGCAACAGAGGGGAGGTAATAGAGATGTGTGGGGAACTCTGCCTGCATGAAAATGTGTCGTAATTGCAGACACTGTAACAAAAGCCTTTTAGGCTGTGGTGCTTGATCCCTGCCTCTGACTATAGAGCCAGAGTGGTGGTTTTACTCTGGTGGATACTTGCCAGAGTAACAGTGTTCAGTATGACCCATCCACGGCACCAAAAGCACTTGCTGCCATTCTGAACTGCCAACACTTGCCATGATTGTGGGGTTGCAATGTTGTCCACATACTTCCTAGCTCAAGGGGAGATAGGGAGCAAGCAGCAGTGTTCCCAGACCATGCAGTGCATCCAGCAGTGTGGGGTGTGGTGGCTGGGGAGAGCTGCCTCAGCAGCCATGGTTCTAGTGTCTTACCATCTTTTATCTGTCTTCTTGCAGGAAAAGCTCAAGTATTTCCCTGTGTGCGTGAGCACCAAAATTCACCAGGAGGATGATGCAGAAGAAGGCCTTGGCAGCCTTCCCAGGAACATCAGCTCCCTCAGCTCCCTGCTACTCTTCAATACCACCGAGAACCTGTGAGAGCTGGAGCAGTGCTGTGCTGCTCACCTGCCCCTGCTTGTCCTCAGAGGAGCTTTCCCTTCCTCAGGCATAGCAGTGACTGCTTGCTTTGCTGGGGATGTTACCTACCAGGCTCTTGATAGGACAGGGTTTGATACCTCTCTGCTGGCTTCCAGCTGGGAACCTTCCCTGCTCTTTGCCTTGGGTGGAAGCAGTTACTTTGTCCATACCTGATCCTCTACTCACCTGATTCAACCCAATTTTGCACTTTCTTTGCTTAGTTCTTCCTGTGGTTCATCTAATTTCTTTCCAGCCTTGAGATGTGCAGTCACTCCTGCCCTTCTCTGCCCTGCGTGCCAGCTTAGGTACTGCTTCTTCTCCTGACAATTCCTCACAGCATTACTTTACTGCTTTTGCTGCTTTAATGTCTCTACCACCTCCCTCACTGCAGTTTCCTTTCCCACTCACATCATGGTTCTTCTTTCTGCTCTTATTGAAGAGCTACTTTAAGCTCTTCTTGAGCTTTCAGCTGCTGGACCTTGTCTTTCTTCTCCTGAGCCATGAATCATTTCTCCTTTTTGTCTGTCCTCCTGGACCCTGAGTGACAAGTCACTGGTGTCCTGCTGCAGACTGTAGGATGGTTTCAGGCCATGTGGTGGAAAGGGGAGAGCTTGGTCCTGGTGGCACTACAGTGGGGCTTTGCTTTAGAATTAGTCTGGAGGCTGCACTGGCAGGGTGGGGAGCTGCTTGCCTCCTGGTTGTGAAGGGGAAAGGCAGAAAAATGGAGCCAAAAGAAGGAACCTGGAAGGCCCAACATGTTCCATCTTTATGAGTAAAGTCAGGTCTCTGCCTCCAAGGCCCTCTTGTGTACACTGTTTTTTCTGGCCTTGGCTCTCACTAAAATACTTGTTTTCTGCCCTTAGGTACAAGAAGTATGTGTTCCTGGATCCCCTGGCTGGAGCAGTGACCAAGACCCATGTGGCTCTAGAAACAGAGACAGAAGAGAAGCTCTTTGATGCACCTCTCTCCATCACCAAAAGGGGACAGCTAGACCGACAGGTGAGAGGCAGCTGCTTACATTTCAGAGGGTTGTGCTCAGCTCTCTGAAAAGAGAGGACTTTGATAGGGTGGTGAGCAGGTAGGACAAAAGCCCCTTACAGGGCTGCGGAGGATTCATTTACCAGAAGGACCTTGCCTGGTTTTGTGCTTGAGGTCCTGGTGTGAGCTTGGTGAGTGAGACAAAAGCCTCACACTTGGCAGGCATTTCTCTCTGCTCAAGCCTTTGTTGAGTGGTGAAAGGAGAGTAATGGGATGGGATATCAACTCACCTTGCTGCTTCACCTCAGGGCTGTAGGGAGGTTTGGAGGATTTATCACTTGATCAGCTCCCTTGTGCCAACTCCTGAGCCTCAGAGTCTGAGGGTGAGGTGCCACTGCTGGAAGGTCCCTGGGGTGAAGTGTGGTCCCATCATTCCTGCTGGGAAGAGGTGCCTACTGGTGCAAACAGAAGGGCCAGCCAGACTGAGCAAAGGGCTGTGCTTGGTGTACACATGGGGCAGGCAGTGCACCAACCCAGTTGCCCCAACATGTGACTGGTACCTGGCACCTTATAAAGGCCATTACTGGGGTGTACTAGCTTTGCTGGGCCTGGGAAAAGGAGTCTGGGAATCATTTGCTCATCAGGTCGGACTGGAGGATATAATGTATATAGTGATAGAATGTATATAGTGAACAAACTCTTTATTCACAGTGCACCATCACTACTGTGTTGCCTGTGTGTTAAACACAAAAGCAAACCCCTGGAACTACTGGGTTGTGTTTCTGCATTTTAATCTTGGAAATGGTTTAGACACTATCCTCTTCTGGAGGAGAAGGGACTGGTTTGTTTAGGCTGCACCAGTTAGTGCATGAACCCTTCAGAGTTCACGTGCTACTGTGAAACTAAGAAGGGTCCTGCACTTCCTCCTCCTGCAGCCTACCTTTCCAAAGCCTGGCCTGCAGGAGGTAACTTGTAAGCACAGAGGTGTAGGGGTAGCTGATGCACCAAGGTACACCAGCCCAGCTCTGACTGCTGCCTAGGTTGTTCCTGCAGTGCCCCTGTTTGCAGCAAGCACATAGTCACTGCCTTACCTTGTTGGTTTGGGTTTCTTTAGGTTGCTGAAAATTACTTCTATGTGCCGGATCTGGGCCAGGTCCCTGAGATTGATGTGCCCTCCTACCTGCCAGACCTGCCTGGCATTGCTGCAGACCTCATGTACAGCGCTGACCTGGGCCCTGGCATTGCACCCTCTGCCCCCAGCAGTGCAATTCCAGAGCTGCCCACTTTCAACACTGAGTCGGTGGAGCCTTTGCAACCAGGTATTTTCAATCTCTGATCCCAGGACCCTATGAAGGAGGAAGGCAGGGATTGCTAGAAAGTGGAGATGGGGCAGAAGGTCCCTTGGGAGAAATTTTAAGATGGATGATGGATGTTGCACCTGTGGCTTAGGCCTGAGGGAAAGCTGCAGCCTGCTCAAGTTCTGGCCTGACTGCAGCCCCTTTACCTCCATCCCCTTCTCTCTGCATAGCTAGGGAGGAGGGAGCACAGTGTGTGTGTCAGCCTGGTGGGATGCCCTTGTGCAAGTGGGATGCAGCTGGGAAGGGAGAGTAGGGGAATCTCAGACTCTTGCCTTGGCCCTGGCTGCTGTTAAGAGATGGTGCACAGGGCAGGAGTGCTCTACTGCAGGTGCTGAGGTCTCTGATCTGTTGCTGCTGAGGTGTGTGAAGCTCTGAGCTGAAACTGGGACTCTTCAGATACAATTTCTTTAATATTTCAGATCTTCAAGATGCTAAACTATTGCCACCTCCTCCCCCTCCACCTCCCCCACCGCCTCCTGTTGTGCCAACTCCGGTGCCTCCTCCACCGCCCCTGCCCCAGCCCACGGCACCCTTGGAACCAGCTCAGGCAGTGAGTGAGGAGAGCAGCAGCACAGTGCCTGCAGGTAAGGGCTGGGCTCCTCCACAGCTGCACCAGCCTCCTTCCCTTCACCTGTGTTCTTGGGGGCCTTCCCAGCCTTCCAGCAGGGGAGGAGGTACAGTAGGATGAGAGGCTGTCAAGGTCTTGGAGTAGCCCTTGCCATGGGAATTTGGTTGGGCCTGTCGCTGATGCACTGACCCATGTCTGCTGCCTGTCCTTCCTGTCCCTGCAGCTTCAGTCCAAGGAGCCCCAAAGGAGGTGGTGAACCCCTCCACTGGGCGTGCCAGTCTCCTGGAGTCCATCCGCCAGGCCGGGGGCATTGGGAAGGCCAACCTTCGCAGTGTCAAGGAGAGGAAGCTGGAGAAAAAGAAGCAGAAGGAACAAGAACAAGGTGCTGAGACTCTGGCAGAATTTCTTTTCATTGCCCAGGCTGGGGAAGCATTGGGTCTGGGGGCAGGCAGGCAAGTCAGGAGCACAGTGAAGTCACAGAGCAGAAAGGAGTTGTCTCCTCACAGGCTGGTGGAGTCTCAGGTGTTCACCACTCAGCCAGAGCTCTGTGAACTTGCTAAACCCCACTGGCCCAAAGGGCATCTGTCCCAGGGCTTGTGGGGAAGTTTCACATGTGATGCACAGGAGCAGGCACACAAATGAAACCCTGGGGGACAGGGCTGAACCAGTTTAAGCACCTTGGCTGAGGTGAATTCCACTCAATAGAATTCACTCAATTCATTCCTCAATGAATTCCACTCTTGGTTTTCCCCAGGAGATGCCATTAACACTGCTGTGCCTAGTGTTTTCCTGACCTGAAAATGGACTGTAGTTTTGGGGTGTCATACAAAATTAGAGGTTTGGAGTTTTTTCTTTAATCTGAAGGCAGTATTGCAGGGAAATGCTTTTGCCATAGTGCTTAACTCAGACTAATCTTTCTTCACTGACTTGTTCTGCTCTGTTTCAGTGAGAGCTACGGGACAAGGTGGAGATTTGATGTCAGACCTGTTCAACAAGCTGGTGCTGAGGCGCAAAGGTACTGTCCTGCAATGTGGGCTCCTTCCCCTAGCAAAGACAGAGAGCACTCCCTGGTACCCAGGTTGTGTCAGCCACAGCCTTGGAAACAGGAACAGAGATTTTCCTGGGCAGTGTACCACAGTATAGCTGGGAGTGTCTTTACAGAGAATGAGCAGAGGAATCTCCACCTCAAGTCCAGCTGGAGGCACTGGAGGAGTTTGTATGTCTCAGAGGATGGACCCTGAAAGCTGCTTGTGCAGAAGGGACAGCAGTGTCTTTTCTGATCCAGTGCTTGGGCAGCTGGGCCCACTGCCAGGGGCCCGTATGGGCACTTGAGATGGCATGGGAGGTTTCTGGGGCATTTAGATCAAAGGTCACACCTCAGTGCTGGGCAGATGACAGCAGGGACTTGCTCAGGGGGAGCTGCAGTTGAACCTTGGCATAAGACTATGGCAGCATTAAACATGTTGGCTGTTCTGGTTACCTGGGTGGTGAAAGCATGGCTTTCCCCCTCCCCTTTGCTGAATCTCTTTGGTCTCTAGTCCCCAGGTGTCACTCAGTGGTGATTTCCTTCTCTCACAGGTATTTCAGGGAAAGGCCCAGGAGCCTCTGGGAACACAGATGCTCCTGGCAGTCCTGCTGGTGCCTTTGCTCGCATGTCGGACTCAATACCACCCCTCCCACCCCCACAGCAGCCCGTGGGTGAGGAGGATGAGGATGACTGGGAGTCATAGATGGGATCCGTTGAGTATTAGTGTGAAACTGTTGCTGCCTGAAAAATTTCCATGAAGTTGAAGGAAGCAGGTCCTTACTGTCTTCACTTTGGTAAGAGTGGGAAGTGTCATTAATTAAGAGTGTGTAAAAGGAAAGCCCAGCTGTCCAGCCTTACAGCCCAGCGCCACAGGCTGGAGGGCACCAGCTGCTAGAAGCAGGTGCTCCCCTCCCTGAAGGCAGAGCTTGTGCAGACCACAGGGTTTGGACCTACTCAAGGGGCAGGTGACTCACAATGGAAGTTTCTCAGAGGCAGCTGTTTCTTTCCCTGTGGGGCTAATTAACATACAGGGAGTGGGTAACAGCTCTGTGCCATAAGTACTTTCTTGTGAAGAGCCTGGAGAGGTGGCATCCAGCTGCTGAAACTGGAAAAGAAGCAAACAGGGCTTCTGGGATGAGACTTTCTCAGGATGACAGAGGTACCTGGGAACAGCTGAGGGATTATGTGGCTGTCCCTGGTATTATTGCTGCCCTCCAGCACTGACCCATAACCCTGGAAAGACCCCCAGGAAAGTTAAATTTAAGAAGTTACTTTGAATTTAGAAGCTTAGGGGTTAAAAAGAGCAAAGCAATCCTGTGCTTAAACATGATCAAAGGAGAAGTTCTGTATTGTGGCCATATCTTTATTCCCCTTGTAAGAATGAAATGCTTCAATCTATTGGCTGCTTGAAGCAAGGCAGAAAGAGGGTGAGAAAAAACGTTACCCACAGCTGCTCCATTACCACTCTGTGTTATTCCAATATGACATAAATTAGTGGCCTGCTAGTTTAAAATTCCTGTGAAAAGCTCAATGATGGCATTGGTCAGTCAGGCCTCCTACACTTGGTGGTTGATGGGAAAAAATCATATGTGTTCAGTCAAAATAATTACTCCCCATACTTAAGTGTACTTAAATAATACTCGCCATACTTGAGTGTTTTTATTGAAAGTATTTAATCAATTTAAATAAAACCTTAACAGCTGTAAACAAGTAGGTGCCTGCTGCTACTCTCTTCACCTGCCTCAGTCCTACAACCAGTTTCCCTCCTGCCTGTGGTGCTGAAGGCTCTCTCTCACCATCATAGCACTCAGATACTGAACAGTAAATATCCACAAAGGATGCAGAAGGCAGAGATTTTATGAAGTCCATGGCACAGAAAAGCAGCAACTTGTGTTACTTTACCTAGTAAAGGTATAAGTCATAATGATGAACACCATCTGTTCTCTGCTCCACATCACAAAGCATCCAACTTGCCTCGATGGAACTGGGAACACACAAAAGCAGGCAGTTTATCCTCGGCCTTACTCTAAAGGGAAAGCTCTAAAAAGGTCCAGATGAGGACAATGGGGAACAGTGACACAAAATACAAGGAGTTCTGACCTTTCTTAACTCAGCAAATGCTGATCCAAAGGCAGGTTTCACCTGGGTCCTCTCCCTGATCCACTGGGGCAGTTTGTTAAAGATGGCAGGGCGTGCGTACCTGTGGTCCAGGAGCAGGATGCTTGCAAAGTCCTTCTGGTGGCGAATGGCTCTGCCTGTTCAGAGGATAAAAACAAAGAATGACCCACTCAGTTGTTTGTTCCCATCATCTGTAATGCATCCTTTTTCCTGCCCTCCTCCTCCAGTGTATTTGGTATCCCCCAGCCTGTCCAAGGAAGGATGATTTACCTATTGACTGGTTTACTGCCTTCATGCACAGGTTTTCAATCAGCACTCTGCTTGGTGCCTGGCCACCAGCTCTGGGCTGGAAAGAAGAAATAGGCAAGTCTGAACACAAGGCAGATGTAAATCAAATTGAGGAATCTTGCTGACAAAGTGAGGTAAATACTTTTACCCCTGCAGGGTGAGCGGGTAGCCGGGCAGACCCCAAGTGGAGATTAAGGAGGAACAGAAGAAAGGCTGCAGTCAGAAAACTGTGTTGAGCGTTCACAAAGAGCCAACCCAAGGTGCCCTTGAAGGCAGAAATCTTGTCCCCAGGAACAGCACCTCCAGTGAGCAATGAGAAGAGACAAATAATCCTGGCAAGCAGCTTCTACCACCCTGCCACCCCCTCTAGGTTGAAGGGTCCTTGGAGCTCAGAGCTGCCAGCAAGTCCTGGTGGCATTTCCCTCCACCAGACTTCTCTGTGTTTAGGGTCACCTGTCCAGGAGCAGCCTAGAGAAGACTGTGCCCTCAGTACCACACTGTCTGGAAAATGAGGGCAAGCTAAAGGAAAATAAAACCTCTGAAGGCAGCTCTGGGACTCATGTGCTGGGAAGTTAGTACTATAAAGCAGAATTGAAAGAGACAGAGTTGTAAGTGCCTCCTACCATTGTTTTGTCAAGCCAAGTCATTTTTTCCTGGAGTTCTGGAGATTTAATGTTGGGGTAAGGCATTCCCACCATAATCACACACCTGCAAGGGAGGACTGCATTATTCTTAATGTCTCATCCTAGGGCACTTTGCCAACAGACTGATAAATTAGAGGTCACTGCACCCCTGAAAGACAGTCAGCCCTGCAAACCAAAGGCAACAATAAAGCACAGCAGTCTGACAAGCATGTGCTGAATGGAGCTGCAGAGGGATTCAGGGTGCCAGAACAAGGGATTATCCAGCACAGCAAGCCTAACTGCATTATTCACAGAAGAGTGGCCTGGACAGGCAGGTTTTACATCACTCAGCAGACTCCTCCTGTTCCTTTAAGCATCAGTTAAGTACACATTCCCCATGCAAGTACTAATGTGCCCATCCTGCTTGGAGTCACTACAGCACAAGCCACAGCTGGCTTTCCAAGGAGAAGTCACCTTACCTTCCCAGGTCATCAGAGAAATTGATCCCTTCACTCATTTTGCCTCCAACTACAGAAAGCAGCAGGGCCCCCGTCATCTGTCCTCCTGTCTGGCTGCAGCGCTGCAGGAGAGGGACAGCAACTTAAATCAGAGCAGGGAAGATTTCTGTGCTTCAGAAACACTCCCACACCTAGGCTAGAGCCTTCTTTCCTTGTTAAAAGTCCCCTCCTTCGCAGCATTCCCATACCTGCTGGGCTGCCACACTTCCACCAGACTGCCTGCTCAGCTTACCTTTATGCATTTGGCATATTCCACTAGCACCTGCTCCACCTGGTTGGCTTTCTTAGGCTCCTGAAAGATCTGTCAAGCACAGTTCATCAGTTCAGCAACACAGCAATAGGAAGCAAACAGTTTAAAGAAAGCAAATCATTTTACCCCCATGCCATTAAACAACATATGGAACTGAGGTCATGGAAGGGAAAATTGCCTGAAAAACTAACTTAACCAGTGCCTTTCCTCCACCCTGAAAATGCACTATGGCTCTTTTCTGCTGGGCTCTGAAGGGAGCAGCAGCTGCTCCTGCCCCTCCAACATTCCCTTTCAGCTTTGGGAGACTTGTTCAATACTGCAAGAAGTTACAAGTCATCCGAGAGCTGAGAGGCAAAAAAAGCAATGTGCACCTCTTGCACCTAAGAATCAAGACTCTCTGGGGTCAGGGGACTCTACAGCTGCAAGATATTGGAGGATAGGGACAGGACCCATCAATTTGAATCATCAATTAATTCCAAGCAGGGGCTCCCCTTGCCCAGTGAATAAATTAGCTTTTCATGCCAAGTATAAATAAAGTAGTATATCTTTATATCATTCTAGCACACCTAATTAGTTACTGAAAACCTCTGCAGTTAATTAAGCTGTATTTTACAGGTGCTGTACCTTGGCCTAAAACACAAGTAGTTTTCCTAGTAAACAAGAGGTCCAACATCTGTCTTCTCTGCAACAGTAAAGAGCCTACAGAATGTGTTTACCTTTGGTTAGCAAGAAGTAATATAAAATTTTACCAGTCAAAATCAGTCTTTCAGTAGAAAAATAACTGGTAATTACAAATATAAGCCAAAACTCACTTATTGAAAAGTAGCTATTTAAGCTTCTGATTTAAATCAACTTTCCCTGTGTGATTTGTATATAATCTCAGTGTGATCTCACCACAGCAACCTCGGGAAAGTCTTGAACCTTCCCCTGCTAAGATTTGATCTTGTGTGTGGGCAGTTGAAAGTCTCACTTGCTGCACTTACACCCAATTGCCTTGCTAATGCATATCCAATTTTCTGGAGACTGCAGAAGTAAAACAAGAACAATTCAGAGTTGAAATTTGGAACAAACTGTTTGTGGCCCAAAACTTTGGAGGAACCAGGCAGAGCATTGGGACCCCGACAGGACACAACTGAAAGGCACTCAGAGTGGTAACTCTACAAACACAGAGAAAATGAAGCACAGTGCTTCCACCCAAAAACCTACAGGCTGCCCCATGTGCCAGACTGCCAAGAATCACCAAGGCTGTGAAATATCTGGGACTGTGGTAAGTTGTTTAGCTTTCGGGACACACAAGTCACAGCCAGGGTATATGTAATTTTTCTTTCCCCTGGCACATGATCCAAGATCCCTGTACCACAACTTTCAATACCCAGCTTTCAAATACCTGTTAAGAGTCATTGAAAAGACTTCATATTTGCAGTGATCTCCCTGTTTAATGTTTCTCACTGCTCCTTCAACAGGAGTCACCACTGCTAGTCTTCCAGTTCTCATCTCTACTTCCGGCAGATAGCAAAATGCCATTTGTCTGATGAACTGCACTGTTGTCTCACTCTGCCCAGCCCTTGGCTGTGCTGATCTGTGCTCAAGGGACACACAGATGAGCCTGGGAAAAACTAATTCCCTGCAGGAGTTCAACCTGAACAGCCCCTCCTAGCCACAAGAGAACAAGCCTGCTATGGATAGCAAAGACCGTCTGCCCCCATGGCCATTACACAGTGTGCACTTCAAGGATGTACAGCTGCAATCAATCTCATTTAGATAGCAGCTCAGTGCTCAGCCACCCAGGAAGTGTAATTTAGTCGTTCCTGGAGGGATTAGCTGGATAAACATCCATTCTGCTCTGTGCACAGAGCATGGGAACAGCTCAGAGAGAGGTCCATAATGCATATGGGATTGTTTAGGTTTTGACACCTCCATGGGAAGTCCCAACTGTCCTGGCTGCACAATCACCTTCTTCCTGGCTGCCAGGCGGGAGAGCAGCCCTGTCTTCTCCC